CCCTGCTTTACAAGTATCTTTGAGCTGTTCCTCCCTTTGTATCCACAGTAACATAAAATCCCCACTGGAATTATCTGCTGTGAAAATGCAGGTGCACTTGTTTAATGTTTCATTGGCTTGAGCACTTAACTTGAACTTTTTAAAATTTTTTTCCATGACACCGTGACCTTTGATTTTGGAGTAGAGGGCTCGCAGTGATGTTAGATATTGTTTATGTACATGAAGCCAACACCATTAGATCTGAGAACCGTGTTTTTTCTGTGGTCCTGCTGTTCCTGCCATTTTGTCTACTGTGTGTCCAAATCCAAGATGGACCCGGTGACTCACTGCTCTGTTTGCAGGAACTTTTAAAATATTCATTGGTCATCAAATTAAAAGTCTGAAACATTTGTTCTCCATATTTCATCCTCAGAAGAGCTAAAATCTACTAAAATTGTACATTATAAACTTTATTATCTTGGACCAATATTTTTATTATTTTTTAAAGATTTTATTTATTTATTTGACACAGAGAGAGAGAGAACACAGCAGGGAGAGCGGTAGGCAGAGGGAGAGGGAGAAACAGGCTTTCTGCTAAGCGGGGAGCCCAAGGTGGGCCTGGATCCCAGGACCCTGGGATCATGACATGAGCCGAAGGCAGATGCTTAACTGACTGAGCAATATTTTTAGATAGTTATCAATTTAAGAAATTAAATACTTGGATGTTTCTGAATCAGATTAAAAATTAAATTAAAAAAATACAAGCTTGGAGAAAAATGTGGACACATTCATATAAAGGCATGAAAGAGGCAGGGAACCTTCACTGAATAACAAGAAGATTAAAGAGGTTAGGTTAGGCCCTGATATAAGGGCCTTACATACCATGCTCATGCATATGACCTTAATGTTTTAAAGTATTTTATTTAAAATTGTTATTTATTGCAAATGTTCTATGCAGCAGGCAATATTCTAAACATTTTTACAGATACTATCATGTAATTCTCACAGCACCCCTATAAGGCATTAGGTTCTATTATTCCCATTTTACAGATTAGGAAACTGAGCCACAGAGAGGTTAAATAAGTTGCCACTTTCCCAAGGTCAAAAGGCTAGAAAGTACTGGAGCCTGGGGTCCAACTGAGGCAATCTGACTCTTGAGCCCATGGTCTTAGCCACTCTGCTCTGCTGCTATCAAAGTGGTGAGCAAATGTGGAAACCTAAAACCAGGAATGATTGAGATTTGATTTAATTTAAAAAGAGGTTTCCAATGGCTGTGTGGAAGATGGGCAGGAGAGAGAGACTTGTGCCAGAGAAACTCACCTGAGACTTTCTCTAGGCAAGAAGGTGAGCTACAGCAATGTGTCCCAGGAATGTCGGGCTGGGCGCATTCAAGACATTTGGACCAGGTAAAAGTGACTGGACATGGTGACCAGTTGTGGAAAGTGAGAAAGAGGGGAGGAGTCTGAAGTTGACTCTCCAATCCCTAACTTGAGAGATGGTTAGTTGGTCATGCCTTTGATGGAGATAAAGGAGCAACGGAATGGGGCTCCAAAGACCTGTCTTTGGACACATACTGAATTTGGAATGCCTATGGAGCAGCCCCATTAGGACTGGTAGGCATTTGGAAATTGGGTTTCAAGCTCAGAAGGAAGGTATAGTGTAAATATGTAACAGGAAGTCATGGTGGTAGGTAGCATGGCCCAGGAAGCAGGCACGAAGATTGGGAAGCTCGTGAGCAGGGATAGATGGGCAAAGGAGGAGGACCTGGTGCAAAAAACAATCATAGAAGAGAACCTTAAGATAATGTTGTCCCAGGCAGCATGTTCTATGGCTGCAGCTTTTGGCTGGGGTTTCTGTCATCGCTCCCGCCGTCCCTATTTCCTCCATTCACATCAGGAATAGCATCCTACACTTGTGAGTTCCTGGATGACTCCCCATCCCCTTCCGGTTCCTAGAACCCTGCACACACCTCTGCCTCTGTTCATTTGAACCCCATGGAGTTAGCCACCTATTACCTGCCTGGACCCTGATTGATAGAAGGATCTTCCCCCATGCCCACCTATCCTTCTTTCATGAGTCAGCATGAGTAGAGATTTCTAGTTGCCTCCCAGTATGTATGCTGCACTTTGTTCCTGGTAACAGAACCTTGGGCAATGTGGTTTTTGAAAAACCACATTTTCCAGATTCCCTTTCTACCCCATGTTTCTGTTCTGCCACATTGTTCTACCACCATTTCCAAATGCCTAGGCTGTATCACTGAGTTTTGGCAACGTAAGCAGAAATATCACATGAGAATTTTAGTCTCTTCTTAATGGGCAGCCCTTTCCACCCATTCCTCCTTCCTTCTGCCTATAATGTGGATATGGGATGTGATGTCTGGAGCTCCAGGAACCACCTTGGGCCTGAGGGGACCTTGAGAATGGAAGCCGTCTTGGAGAAACAGACAAGCAGGGCCATGGCCCCTGTTGACTGCATGATTCCACTTTATCAGCATGTACTGGTTACTTCCAGGTTTATTAAGTACAGTTGTAAGAAAAGAGTGCTGGTATAGAAATAGGGAGAGATAGGGGAGGAACATGAAGAAGAGACAGGGTTAATGGGGAGAACCTGTCTTCTGAATTAGGGGGAATGGAAGAATGCTCTTGTCGATGTTACTGGAGGTAACAAAAAGGGAAATGGGGTTGGGGGGAGGCTGGTGGCTGGTCTCTGTTTTCTTTATGATGTGGGAGATGTACTCACTTGAGAATGAGGAAAGGGGACCAGAGGGAGAACAAGAAAGGCTAAAGTAGTGACCTTGAGGACTGGATAAAGGACCAGAGCAGCCACAGTGAAGAAGGCAAAAGGAATTTAACTAAGGTGAAAGAAAAGGAGTGGAAAGCTGGTGCCCTTATAGATAAAAATCCAGACAATGCCCCCCCCCTCAAAATCTTTTGGAGAAGTCCTTAATTGCACAATTGCATAATTCAGGATATTATAGTGTGGCAATTTGGCAATTTAGGAGTCATTTGATCCATGTTGTTAGATCGTTCAAATTATTCAGTGCCAAAGGGATTGTTTTTGTAGTAAAAGATATAGCTGGATAATTACTAAGCCGCCTGTTCACATAGAGCTGTAAAAACGGCCTGTATATAACTGTATTATTAGTCCAACATAAACCACATTTCCATCACATAGGCACCAAAGCCAAAATAAATTTTAACTTCATGTGGGCATAAACACGTATTATTATTTGCATTTTCTGTTAAATGGAACTAGATTAAAGACCTGTCATCAGTGTGCAAAGTAGCTGGGGTTAATTGTGACCTTTATGTTATTTGAACATATTCAAAAATTTTATTCTTATTATTAGAGGATAAGATGTGCTTGGTTTTCTTTGTATCAAATAGGAATATTCATTCTTAAATGACATGCATCCTTAGAGACTTCAGAACACAACCTTTCATAATATTTAGCTATTTTTAAATGTCAGGTGCAGTTGAGTTTTATTACATTGCCGGCCCATGCCGTTACCAAAAGTCTCCTGTTTTTAGTGGTACTTAACAGATTGTCAGTAAATTGATAGCATTTCCACGTTTGGAAAATTTTCAACTTCCTCATGGGAAAGGAGGGCAGGTTTTCCCCTTGAACCTGGTGAAGGTTTCTTTCTTGGCATTTGGTTGGTTTAAGGGGAGGTGTGAACTCAGAAGAGATTTTAGAGAGAAATATCTTTCTCACCATCCTATGAAAAGATCAACTCACCCATAAAGTTTTGCTGACTTGAGCTGGAGGGCAAATTTGCGGCAAGAGTATTTTAATACATAAGGGGAAATAGGGAGTGAGTCTTGAGCATGTCAGTCCTTAGCAGCCTCTGCTTACGTGCTTGCGTCGAGCTACCCAACATCGCTCATGGGACTGTTTAGAGGACAGCCAAGTGAGTGCAGAGGGCACTGCTGGGGGTCAGAAGAGACATGGCTCTCACCTCGGGTCCTGCTGCCCGTGAGCTTTGGGACCGTGAACAAATTACCTGGTATTTCCAACCTTGATTCTCCTCTATATGAAATGCAGATAATAACAACCTGCCCCCTGCCTCTGGCACAAACCACCTTGAAGATTAATCTCTATGATAATGTCCATGAACGTGTCTCGGGCCCTGGAAAGTCTGATGCAAATATAAAGCAGTTTTGCTTCTAAAAGCAACCTTCTAGAATTTTCTCCTAGGTGATATTTTGGTATCTGATTTGAGTAATTGATATATATATATATGAGAGGGAAAGAGAGATCTGAAAATAATATATATATATATATATATCTTTTGTAGTAAATGCAAGGTGTGCCATATATATATATGTATGTATATATATATATATGAAAATAATAAAGTTAATGTTGACCAGTGGGGATTAGATGATCTTTGGATCCTTGTCAACAGCTTGGTGTCTACAGGACAATGGAGACAGAGGTTAGGTGAGAAGATGCTGGAACCAGACAGCCTGGCTTCATGCCCTGCCTTCAGACTCTCCTGCTGTATAGTCTTGAGCACATCACTTTGCCTCAGTTCCACATAATAAATAGGGATATTTTTACTGACCTCATGGTATTGCTGCTTCGAGGACCAAATGAGGGACGCACAAAGCACTTGATGGTAAGCATTCAGAAGGTGTCAGCTATGGTGGTTGTGATCCCAAGCAATTCTTAGAAGTAGTCTGAAATTTGAACTGTGCGTTAGTTTATATTCAGTTTTCCTCCCTCCTCCCAATGTTGGGCTTTATTTTGCTTCACTCGGAGAAGCAAATTTAAAAAAAATGAAATGGTACCTGGCATGACAGTACTGTAGCTTTGGGAAGTTTCTGCAGTTAGCTGCTCCAGAACCATCTTCCTTCTTTCATTGAAATGGTCGGTTCTGTTGGAAGGTTTGTGCAAAAAGAGTTGCTGAAAAGAAAAGTGCAACAATTGGATGACACATGAAATAAGGTTAAATGGAATTATAATTCACCAAGTCCGGCTTTACCTCCTTTTTTATGTGTTCTCTTCTCTCTCCTTAGCTCTCACCTGAAGTTTAGTAATCTCACCCTGATTTCAACCCATGGACTCCCTGGAAAAAAGCTTCTGGGCACCGAACAAAGGAAGTTTTTAGCAAGCGAGTAAGAATTCCATTTGTTTTTTCATTCTGAGGCCTAAATGTCCTCATTTGTGTGGACAGTACAGTTGACCCTTGAATGACACGGGGTTATAGGGGTGCTGAGCCCCATGCAGTCCAAAATCTGCATGCAACTTTTGACTCCCCTAAATCTTAACCAGTAATATCCTACTGTTGACCAGAAGCCTTACCAATAACATAAGCAGTCAATTATTTTGTATGTTACATGTAATATATACTGTATTCTTAAAGTAAGCTAGAGAAAAGAAAATGTTATTAAGAAAATCACAAGGAAGAGAAAATACATTTACAGCCCTGTACTGTATTTATGGAGGAAAAAAAAAAAATCCATGTGTAAGTGGACCCACGCAGTTCAAACCCGTGTTGTTCACGGGTCAACTGTAGTCGATTTCAGACTGGAAAGGGAGGGGTGGCAGGCTTTTCTCCCAGAGTTCAAACTCACTTAGAACATATAAGTACAAATCCGTTAATGAGGGAATGGAGAGTTGGGCTGCCATTTTGTATTTGTGGGGAGATGTCTGCCCTCTTCCAACCTGCTGACACAGCTACCTCCTGCACTTGGCTTCCAAGTGACAGTACAGCGCAGGGAAGCTTGGTGACTGTATTTGCATCAGACCAGGTTACTCCCCCAAGGCTCAGAGTTGGGAGATAAAGACGGGGCACTTCGCTGGGGTGTGGGTCTCACACCCCTAACCCCGGGCCCTTTGTCATGAGGGGCTGATCTGCTACGACCTTCTTGCCGGTCTGGGCAAGCTTCATTGTTTGCATCCCAGTAGAATCACTATTTGTCAACATCTGTTCTAGAAAATGCCATTTCATTATCACACAGCTTGCATTAATTTTAATTTCCTGTAGCAAAGCATGGGTACAAGAATTACTAGGCTCCCCACCTCTAGAAACAATGTCCCAATTTTTCCAACGAGGAGGAAGGAAATTGTTCCCTCTCAGGGTGTTCATTTTAGAATCCATGATGAAGAGATCTTCAAACAGTGAGAAAAACGGCCGCAACTCCTTGCCAGCAGAACCAGGCTCACTTTGACCTAATACTTTCATCAGACTTTGAAATTTTATTTTTCTTGAAGGACAGCATCAGGGCAGTAAAAAAGGCATGGGTTTTGAGCCGGATAGGTGCGGATTCAGGTGGATGCCCCTATTACAAAGGGGATTTCATTTCTCTGAGCTTTGGATTTTTTGACTGTGAAAAGTGTATGATAAGCCAACCTTGCTGGAGTTTTTCTGTTAAAATTACTATAACAGCACGTTCTGACAAAGGGTAGAGGATCAACCCATGTGCATCCTTCCATCATTGCCTGTCTTCCAAATGACACGATTCCCAGGAAATGTTGGTCTTGTTGATTAACGTCTCATGAAGAGCAGTTTAGTCAGCTTGATGAAGGTTTCTGTCAGCCCCCATGTTAGGTATGCTACAGGAGAGAACAGCTAGCAAATGGCTTTCTGCTGGTGTGATTCAGCATGGGACCCACATGTGGCTAGGTGGAGAGTCACCTGGTGGTCCTGCTTCTGTCCTTGCCTCTCCATATTCTCAACACAATAGCCAGAGCAATGCCACACAAATATGAATCAGATCGTGTCAACTACGGAACAGCCTAGAACAGCACTGTTCAATATGGTGGCTACTAGCCACATGGGGCTATTTAAATGTAACTTCAGTAAAGTTAAATGAGATTAAAAATTCAGCTCCTCAATTACATTAGCTATATTTTGGAGTGCTCAGACAGCTCCACGTGGCTAGTAGCTGCCATATCAGATAGCGCAGCTACAGAATATTTCCATCCTCACAGAAACTTCTAGAAAGTTCCAATCTAAAATCCATCCCTGTCTGCTTACTTCTTTGACTTCATCTTTTACCACTGTTACCCTTGTTTTCTCCACTCTAGCCACCATAGTCTCCCTGATGTTTCTGAAACACAGCAGGCAGGTCTCCATCTTGGAGTCTTGGCTTAAATGTCAACTTTTCACACGCCCAACACACTCCAGTCCTCCTTCCTCTGCTTTGTTTTTTTCTTGCTACAGAAATTCTTCTAAATATTTTATAATTTGCCTTTTAAGATCACGTTTATTCTTTATATTCTGAATCCTTAACCTATAATGTAAACTCTATAGAGTTTACTATAGTAAACATTAGTTTACTATAGGGAAGGGATTTTTTTTGTCTTGTTCACAGTGTGTCCCCAGCATCTGGGACAGTGCTTGGTGCACAGCAGGTAATAAATAATGTCAAACAGATGAAAGTTGCATCCAAAAGTACCTGCAAAAGTTCTCGCAATCAGGTTATGGACAGGGACTAAACAATGCAGCCAGATGCCTCTGGGTGGAAGACTCATGTTATCATAATTCTTAGAAGCCACAAATTGAAATGTAAATAGGATGTTGCCTTTCAAATGGTCCTCCTACCTCAATAAAGGAAATGATCTCTGGCCATGGATAACTAATATCTTGACATCCATAAATTTAATAAATTCCTCATTCTGAATATAAATTTTCAACTTTGCCCTAGCCAGTGTTTTGATTATTGTTGTTATTAATTTTTGAACAGCCATTTTTTTGTCTCGTCCATGTCCCCCCCACCCACCCCAGGCCAGTTTCTTGTAGAGGTGCTAATGACATGCCGGGATACAGCAGAAAGGAAGGCAGTGGGAGGAGAGGAGAAACCAGAAGCAGGAGAAATCCACTAATTGGACAATCAACCCTGAATAGCGAATGTTAATTGTGATGTTCCTTCTTCAGAGTGACACAGTAAATCATTTATGAAAACCTCTGAGGTTCTTTCCAGTTCTGAAGGGTTCTGATTTCATGAAGTGCATGTGTCCACCCTGCTTGTAATTGCTCCCCTGGAGTTTGCTTGTAATTTTGCACCTAGAGCTTTGGCCTAAGTCTTCTGACCGCTGGCTGTGGGGGCAAGCTGGCCACTCTGTACATATGTCCCCTTCCAGAAATTTCCCCATCCTGCAATTCTGTTTTTTTTTTTTTCCTTATTACCTGTTTCCAGAATGTTCTATGAAGACAAACTTTCACATTAGTGTTGAGTCAGGGTCAAGCTCACTTGAGAAACCTGAAGTTTTATTGATGTTCCTTCTTTGGTTCTTTCTCTTTCTTCCAGAGAACTCTAGTGGAGGTCTTTCTCTTGTCACCAATCCATGAGACAGTCCCTGCCATGTTAGAATCCTAATGCTCATTAACTTTGCTTAGGAAATAATTCTGGAAAACTATCACCAACAGTATCCAATGGCTAATTTCACCTACCTGATGGATACATTAAGGAAGACCCAGAATGAAGAGTAGTCACCTACACAGTGATACTTTAAACTGACAGATGTCACTCAGTGTAGTAACAGACTGTAAAAGCAAGCACCCCACATTCTTCAGTGCTTCCGAAGGTTCCTAAAAAAACCAGTATTCCTAATGCCAGTTCCCACGGGACAGAGCTTCAGATTTTAACTCTGAAATATGCATTCTGACATTATCAACATTACTGTCCTGCTGTCATTAAAAATAACACTGTCTTAACCTTCCCCAAATTTCCCCTGAGAACTTTTATCTTTGAGCAAACCCTCATAAGACTAATCCCTGTGAACGAACTATATTTAATTTTTCCTTATCTTGGACAACTGACAGTACCATTCCTATTATGAAGAGACGGTGTAGCAAATAAGGACAGTCCTTTGTGGGTCTCTCATGAATGTGTAAAATCAGCGAAATTTCCTGTTTTCCTTCGAGCTACCAAAATGGTTTTTTAAAAGAGAATTTCATCCCACTATCTATTATATTCTGATGACAGGCCAGTCCCTGATTTTCTTTTCTTATTAAAAAGAAATTTTCTTGTTTTTAAGTGTTGTTTCATGGAGAGATACAAAGCCCAGAGCCCCCTTCTCTTTCACAGGCCCTTATAACGGGGTCTAATGTGCATCCATTACGAGAATTCTTTTTGTGTGGTAAGAGCAGACTCATGTGTGGATCAAAAAGAAAAAATGTTCTCCCATTACCACTTCACAATCCTGTTTGCCTCCAAGGAGGGTAAACAGGATTATGCATCATTAATATTATTTAGAACAATACCCTTCACATACGCATCCCACTTGACAAAACAGCAGCCTTAACGTTCTCATGTTCATCCCGTACAATGGCCAAGGCATGTGAGGAGGGCAGTTACCTCATGTCAAGAGATCAAGAAACTGAAATATTGAAAGGGCATGCAGAGTCCCCGGGGTCCACTCTCATTGGTGACAAATCAGGGACACAGACCATGGCACAGAAAAGCCTAGATTTAAATGAAAGATGTTGGGGTGCCTGGGTGGCTCAGTCGGTTAAGCATCCCACTCAGGTCATGATCTCAGGGTCATGAGATCGAGCCTCATGTCAGGCTCCATGCTCAACTCGAAGTCTGCTTGAAATTCTTCTCTCTCCCTCTGCCCCTTCCCCCTCTCACCCTCTCTCTAAATAAATTCATTAAAAAAGTAAATGAAACACGTACTATTCTGCCATCCTATACTCTGGGTCTTTAGAACAGGATCAATAAAAGGTCATGTTCATGAGGTCAGACCTTTCAAAAAATTCTGGAAACCACCCTCATAAAACTCTTTATTTAAATAAACCTAAAGCCACCAAAACCCCACTTTTCTCACATTAGGGTAGAATGCTCAAACTCAAATGGAACCCAGAGAAGAAAACCTATCCATCTGGACCCACTGTTTGCAGAAGTACCAGTTCTCCACAAATCACCTTTGCTCTACAGAGTGAATCCCAAAAGTCTCTAGGGACTATACTCTCAGCAAACATCATTCCCTAATTGACATCTTTAAATAAAATGTGTAGTTGTTTTGGCATGAATCCATACACTAATTTTAAGAATGAGTCATTTATTGAAAAAAACATTAGCAAATATGAAGGGTTCTCAATATTCAGAACCTTGACCCCTGCCTTTGGGAATCCTCAGCAATGTCACTTTCTTCTTCCTCATTCCTTCTGAGTCTGTGGTCGACATGACAATTCAACAGCTAAAGTCAGTTTACTCCCACCATGAAATAGAAGCAGAAGAAAAAGTATATATTAATGATTTCACAGAGACACAGATGCACACGCACGCACACACACACGCCCTCCCTGTTGTAGACTGGCCTATGCCGGGTGGAACGATTTAGCTTTAATGCGAAGATGTCAATCTGTGACTACATGTCTCATAACAAAAAATCTCCCGGTATCTAGCCAGGGTCCTGGTATACTCACGGCAAGAGCACAGACTTGGCCCACTAGGGGCCTTGACCCAGTTCACCAGATGTCTAATTAATGCCCACTGTCAGCTGCTCAAATGTCACTGACGGAGCTTTTCTCTCCGTAGCCACTGTTTTCATGACAAAGATTACGCGTTGATGTCACTGTGCTCCTGGGTCAACGTGGTGGTGGGTAGAATGACTGCCATAGACCGAGCAGCCAAGCACGTGGTGCTTTCCAAAGAGGAAATCGTGCTCTACGACCATCTCATCCTCTGCACCGGGCAGCAGTACCAGGTGAGATCTCAGGGACTAACAGCCCGTGTGTGATCCGGGGCACACGTCCTCAGGTTTGGGAGCGAGCCTTCCCACCGGGACAGCTGCCACTCTCGTCATAAAAGTGCCAGAGAGGCCTGCACACACGTGAAGAGAATTATGTCCGGATCTCCTCCCGGAAATCCATTCCAAGAAAAACATTCTGCTCAAGGGTAAAAATCACAGCAAGTTGGAGAAATGTCATTCTTGAAGCTGTTGTCCAAAAGTCTAACACTTCCTGCTCCCCAGAGCAGAATCCAGACACAACCCGGCATGCGTTTGTGGTAAATTAATTTATGCCTCAAGAGGCTAACATTTGGCGGTGGTGACGGGCTCATGCGAAAGTATTTCAAACATGTGCACCTTCTGTCAACCCTTATTTTATTTTGTCTCTCAGTTATAAAACTAGGAAATGTGACTGATTGATTACCCAGTGACCATGCTTTCCATTTGGATGAAATTCTCAAACCACATTTGAGGAGAGCATTGCTGGAGACAACGGAAGCTGTTCAATGTCTTAGGGAAGCGAGTTTTAATATTTTCGCTTTGTAACACACATTAGTGTTTCATATGGTTCACAAAAATAAGGCATTTCTTTGATGAAAGGAGGTTGACTTTGTAACTCCGAGATGGCGTCTTTTTCTCCCGGGAACCTAGAGGGGCCTTCCCACGGTGGGTCTGTTTCTGACAAATATGGAGCAACCCGCCCCCACCCCAGGCGCTGCCATGCTTCATCTGGTACTGGGTTAGGCCATTTTGTGAATGGCGGTGGATTTGACAGGGGGAAGCGTGTGCAGGTTTTCTTCACAGAGCCCAGCCAGGAGGAGGCAGCGTGCGTTGGCGGACAGACAGCTGAGCAGCTCCCAGCATTACGTACTTAATGTTCTGAGCCTCGGCTACACATTGACATCAGCTGGAACACTTGAAATATACCCATGCCTAGGCCCCACCACCCCCCAGAGGCTCTGTTTTAATTATTCTGGGGTGGAGCCCAGCAATTAGCATTTAAAAAAAAAAAAACACCACCACCACCCAGATGATTCTAAGCTAAGGCTAAGAACCAGGACTTGAATTTTCTTGACCTAGAATCTCTCATCCGTACCTTAGAGCAGCACTCTCAAACCATAATGTGCACCCACAGCCCCGTGCATCTATCTCGTTAAAATGCAGATTCTGAGCAGGGGCTGGGGGGCGGCTGATACACTGCGGTTCTAAGAAGCTTCCAGGTGAGGCCAGCCCTGCTTGTGAGCGGGCCATGTTGAGTAGGGTTCAGCCTCTGAGGGATTGCTTTTCTTTCTTGTCCTCCTCCTCCTCCTACTACCACCACTACTGCTGCTACTAAAGAAATCCACTTTTCACAGTGTAGAAAAGGATTTTTTTTTCTGATTAAAGGATAAACACAAACTGGAGGCATACCTTATTTTGATAGTTAAGTATTCCTCTTTTTAAACATTAAACCAGGAGAAAACACCGTACACCCCTTAAGCTTGTCCCCCCACCCCCACCTGCCCCACCGAGTTCCAGCTGCTGCCTGGGATCGTGGACTTTGGAAAATGTGAGTGGAAGACCCGGCCAGCTGTCCAGAGACTCGGGCATCTGCCCATGTGTGTCCAGCTGCCCCTGCAGCTTTAGTCTGTGGCACGTTAAGCTCTTGCCCTTTTTACAATGGGAAAAATGAAATGAAGAAGTGATAAAGGGAGTTCTAATTTAATTTTTCCAGAAGGACATAAAAATTAAAGGTACATAGAGTGATACAAAAAAGGCTGCTGAATTCACTGGGGAAGGCTTCCAGTTCTTATTTATTTTCCTATCTCCTTCTCTTCAACTCTCTCATGGTTTTGTCCCAATTTTGTGATTTAGAAAAAAAAATTTTAATGATGAAAATAAAGCTTAAATCCAAAGCAAGAAGGCAACCTGTTATAAAATATCATTACAAACTTTAACCTCTAAACAGACCTTTAAATGGCATGAGTCATTCTAAAATATTATGCTATATTTTTGACATCCAAATACATATCATTTAATTTTTTTATCAGAAAAGCCATGCACAAAGTAAAAGATTAAATTGGGCTGCAGGGCTGTGTGTGAGGCAGGCTTGTCTCTACCTTCCAAGCCCTCTTTCGAGGGGCAACCACCTGGAGGCATTTCTATTGTTAGTTCCTCAGTGGTTACCCCCCAGAACACCAAATAATGTGTTTATAGAAGTTTTATCTTTGATATATCAACTCCTGACAATGTCTGTGACCTTTCCATTTTGGAAGATGAAGCTTTCTCTAGCTCATATTCAGTACCCTCTAACTCCCCTCCCCACCCTGCCTACTGACTGCATTGTTTTTGTTGGTGGGCACATGCTGGTGCTCATGCACAAAGCTCTGGGATAGCTTACCACTGAGGTCCTTGGCCACTCTCCATGGCACATGGAGAGCCATGGAGAGACAGAGAGATGCCTCCCCATGCCTGGTTTTGGGGCTTCTCAACAAGAGGAAGAATAAAAATGTGTTAACTTGCAAGGGCTCTTAAAGGGGTGATGCTCACTAGAAGCCAGCAGGTGGGGCAAGAACATCCCACCAGAGCAAGGTGGGATGTTAGTTATATTGAGCTTGATGTGGGTCAGCAATATGATGTGGGCTCCACAGAGGCTAATTACATCCTTGATGGGGTAAATAAGAGCAGGGCATCCAGAACCGTGCAGGCCCAGGTGAGAACCTGCTACAAACAGCTGAAAAGAGAGCTGTGTATACCACTTTGACTCTTCCCATGTAAGACCTGAGATGCAATCCCCAGTGTCTAGAACAGCGCTTACCATGAAGAGACCTCACTGAGTTTGGGATGATTAAAGGGGGAAAATAACATTCCAAGAGATGAGGTCTACATTTCCTTCCCTTGAATCTGGGCAGGCTTGTGACTGTCTTGACTGATAAGAGTACAAAGGAAGTGATGTGGTGTGACTTCTGAGGCTTGGTCAGGGGCCATGCAGGGTCTCCTTGTTCATGGCAACAGTGGCTCCTGGAGCCCTGAGAGGCCACTGAAGAAGTCCAGCTGCCTACCCTGTGATGGCCATGTTGGACATGCCATGCATGGGTTCTCCAGCTGATAGTTCCAACAGAGCCCAGCCTTCCAGCCATTGCTGACAAAGCACCAGACACATGAGTGAAGCCATCTTGGACCCTCCACCAGCTGAATATCACCAAGTGACTTCTGTTGTTAACAGATGGAATAAAGGAATTGCCCAGCCAAACCCTACCCACATTTCTGGCCCACAAAATCATGAAAAGTAATAAAATGGTGGTGGTTGTTTAAGCCACAGTTTTGGTGTGAGTTTATTGCGTAGCAAGAGACACCAGGAACAAAAGTGTAACATGGAATGAGGGAAAGGGAACCACATTTGGAAAAATCAGAGAAAGAACACACTCTTGACGATATTCCAAAATGCGTGATTCATACACACACACACACACACACACACACATGCACGCACGCACACACTGCAAGAACTGTTCATCCTCCTCAGTACAGTTTGATCAGCCAGCCTCTGAAATGGGCACTGGAGCCATCTGAAGAGCAGAAGCTGAGCTGAGAAGGCCACAGAATTATTAGATGAAAAGGAAGATGGGTAAGAAAGGCTTGAAATTAAATCCCTATCAAGAGACGGGACTGCTGCTGTCCAGTGTTAGAGGCTGAAGACAAAGCACAAAGCTCCCCTGGAGGGCAAAGGGCATAAGAGACGAGAAGGTGTGATCAACATGGAGGCCACATACAGATCATTGGTTTTCCCAAAGAAGACACCCTGACAAATAGAATAGAGACAGTAAAGATATGCTAGAAGAAAATTTTCCTTACCTAACACCATATTATCCAGTTGGGCACATTCCAGGCAAAATGAAAGACAAAATTTCTCAGCCAGTTATATTCTGATGGAATATTGATTCTGTGGGAATGGTAGGGAAAAAATGCACAAATTTCAAGAGAAAAATAACAGATTACCAACCCTCCCCCGCAAATAGAACAAAAAGAAGACAGGCACCCCCAAATTACCTTTCCAGGAGGAAATGGCATAAGAACATGAAATTAGCCACACAGAATTTTGAAGAGACTGTGGTGATTCAATAACTATATGCCCACCTAAGTCTCTCCTATTTGAAGACGGTAAAAAGCTGTTCCATGTGTGAGGTCTCAGAAGAATGATCTTTCTCGTTCTTTAATGTGTACTCCAAATAACTGAGGCAGAAAGGAAAAGATAGGACTTGACGATAGTTTAAAAAGATAAGTGACAAGCACCAAACAATTTAAAAGTTTGTAAGTCTGTTGGTAAGTCTGAGAAAAAATGCAAAACGAGTGATCACAAGCCTTCATCTAAATCTAATCAAGACCAAGTTGTTTGAAAATAGGGAGAGAGGTGGCCAGGTAGAAATAAGAAATGCCTTAAATGGAGAAACCCAAAGGTAATATTTGGGTATTGACTCTTATATGTAGAAGGAATAAAATCAATGAATGCTTTTGAACAGCACAAGTAAATTCACCTTCCCAACCCCGAAGAAGATAAGACAGGAGGAAACATTATTCGTGTAAGCACAGGGAAGAAAACAAAGAAACAACCACAGCGCTTTCAACAAGTATAAACCAGAATGGCATTAGGAAGAACAACAGTTGCAATGGTGAATGCCATGGTTTTACACTGTGCTGTTATGACAGCGAGGCTCTGTGTTTGCACCAAATACAAAATATAAGAGAAATGCCAAAAAAGAAATGACACCCAAAGTTTCTCAATGAAATGATAGTTAAGAGCGCACCAGCAAAAGGTGCCATGCAAATTCAAATGGCTATCAGAAGCAGTGGCAAGATTAGTATCCAACAAAGCAGAATTAATTGGAGAAAGAAAAGCATTAATGTCGACAAAGGATACAATTCGCAACAGCAATACAGAGGTGATGAGCTCGTTACATGCTGAACATGATCATGTCAAAGAATATGTCACAAAAGCA